AGATCTCTGTTTAGTCTGTGCTTTTCCATGCTTAAATGGCCAAAGGACATTCCTACCCCAAAATCCCTGCTACTAGTCCAAACTACTGTGTTGGGCAAGCAGAGCCTGGGTGCAGGAGACCAGCTCAGCTGGGCTGCCTTCCCTCCCAGAGCAGTTTGAGGGTCACAAGCCTGTCCATCTGAGGCTTTCCTTTGGCTGCAGATGGAAAAGGAGCTTGCCATGGGTTTCCTTTGCCTGCTTTGACTCTTTGGCTTTCTGCATTTTGAAGTTGAAGCCTGAGACACAGACCAAGTCTGGGAGTACTCTGGATCTCTTTCGGAAGAAGCACCTGCGGAAGGTGACCTTAGTCATGTCGTGCAACTGGTAAGACATCCCCTGGTCCTCTCTTTCCATACTTCCAGGTGAAGGAAAGAAGGGATTGGGGATTGACAGGAACTGTAAATTTACCTTGTAGGTTTTGGGTGTTACTGGTGGGTGCTTCTGGTTCTGGCTGTTCAAAATGCTGTGTGATTTGTGGGAAAGGTTAGAGCCATTCCAGCTTTGGTTGTCCTGTGGTATTGGTCTGGTTTTATGAGATCTTGGAAATGCTGTGGCTTGTTCAAAATGTTGTCATTGGAAATCAAGATTGAATTTACTCATGGCCACCCTGCCCGTGTTTCAGGTTTGTGAACAGCCTTGTCTACTATGGACTGAGTCTGAACGTGACAAATTTTGGTCTGGACATCTACCTGACACAACTTGCATTCGGAGCAGTGGAAATCCCAGCCCGTGTTGGTTGTATCTTCATGCTGCAGTGGTTTGGAAGGAAGAAAAGCCAGGCTCTTTTCCTGCTGCTGAGCGGCCTGGTGTGTCTGATCATCATTGGCATCCCTGAAGGTGAACTACCTCTTCCATCCTGAGAGGACCACCTCTGGTACACAGAGGCACAGAGCCCCAAACCTCCCCTTGCTGATGCAGGTCCTGTCCTCCCAACCAGGCTGGCTCACATCTCTCAGGGTTTGAGCTGACCCTGGTGCCATGGCCACAAGGGACTACTTGGTCAGCTCCCCAAGGCTCATTCTGCTCAGCAAACTTTTGCCTGCTTATTGCGACAGGAGAGGGTAGAGCTGAGCCTGGTAGCCCACCTATTAGCAGAGTTGTCCTCTGGGAAAATTAGTATGTGCGGAGATGAGATGATGGCTGCAAAGTGCGCTGAAGGTGGCTTCCAGGCCAGAGCTGCTCCTTGGTCCACGTTCAGGCACTGTTCAGAGGCAGTGGCTCCCTGCAGATGGCACAGTTATGATGGTGTATCCCCAGCCTCCATCCCCGCGTGGTGCTGGGCCCTCATCCCACAGCGCTGGTCTCTCCTCCTCCCCTCAGACCAGCCTGTGGTGACCACCGTCCTGGCCATCATCGGCAAGTTTACGGCCTCAGCCTCCTTCTCCACCTCCTACGTTTACTCCGCAGAGCTCTTCCCCACGGTCGTCAGGTGAGGTCTCCCCACACATCAGGGCTTCCCTCCACCATGGCTGGTGGCAGTGATGGGGCAAAAGCCTGGTTGTCCCCATGGCCACACTTGGTTCCATGGTGTCCTGAGGGGCCCAAGCCCTGCCTGTGCCTCCCACTGTCCCTCACTCCCCAGGCAGACCGGCGTGGGGCTGTGCTCGATGTCAGCGCGGGTGGCGGGGATCTTGGCCCCATTGATCCGCCTCCTGGACCAGTACCACCGGGCTGTCCCCATGGCCATCTTCGGGAGTGCCCCAGTGGTGGGGGGGCTGCTCTGTGTCCTGCTGCCTGAGACCCACAGCACTGACCTGGCAGATGACACAGGGGGCCGCAGCCCCCCAGCTGAGGTGGGTAACCGGTGGTGCCTGTGCTGCCTCTCGGGCATGGCCACCAACAGACCCTCTTGGGCAGGGACACGGGGTGCCAGCGCTGTAGGAGGCTGTCAGAATTGCATGGACTGGGACTGGGGGTTTCTTCAAGGGCTTTCAGTGGGTTGGAGGGTAGGAAGTGGAGCTGCCCCACTGCAGAAGGAGGGGATGATGCCTCATAACCCTTCCTAGAGGGTAACTCAGACCCATGGTGGTCATCTCTTTATTCCTGTTCGTGGGATGGAAGGACTCCAGGAATGGCCAATGCTTTGCTTGCCTCCCCCTGTGCTCCTCAGGGAAGAGTCAGTGCCTTGTAGCCATGTCTTCTGGCTTTTGGCCTGTGTATCTCCCAGCACTTACTACCCGTGGGTCTGGATGGAATTGCACCCCAATACTTTTGTTGCTTTGCTGGGAGAAGGGTGTCCATGTGGGCCCAGAGAGTGAGTGGTGAATGGCAAGCCAGGCTGCTGAAGGCTGCATGTCTTGGAGAAGGCTGCTGTCAGCTCATAGCAGGTCTTTTTTCATTTTTTAACTCTTTTCTCTTTCATTAGGTCTGTGAAAATGCCAATAGCAGCTCTGAGAATGGACACGTGAAAGGAAAAGATGGTGGCCAAGACAAGGAGTGCACGAAGACCACTTACTTCTAGCTGGGCCTTCAAGGGGCTGTAATTAAAGGCAATCTAGTGCTGTGCAGGCACCAAGGACAGGCAAGGTCTCTATTTGCAGGACACTACCATCTCTCAAGAGGTCACTGTCAGTTCTTGTCTCTACTTTTCTTTTTTGCCTTCCTGTATCTCCCTCTATAGCTTGTCCTCAGGCACTGCATGCTGTCTCTGGTGTTCAACGGTGCTCTTGACGGAGAAAATCCAATGCTTTTCATTTAAGGAAACAGAGAAAGACATCAGAAACCAGAATGGTTGCAACATTTTCTCTTCCTTTTTTCTGTCTCATCTCCAGGAATGTGAGACTGTAAACTTTGTCTGAGTGAGACACCTGCTAGAGCATTGAGTAGACTTGAGGAGTACTGGGCTCACTAGAGAGAAAGCCAGAGCAGATGCAACGCTGAAAACAAACTCACACTCACAAGGAGTGATTTCTCTTAACTGTCTAGCATGGTCTTCTCACCCTCTCTTAAAAACACTCCTTTTAATTTTTTTTTTTTAATTTGAGACAACTGAGGAGAAAAAGATGCGATGGAAGAAACAGCAAGCAGTGAGGAAAGACATCTAACTGGCAGCAGAGTTTTCACCTTGGTGCTGGTGGCTTTGAATGCAAGCATGTCATGATGCTTTGTGCACAGAAGATTGTGCTGTTGGGCTGCAATTAGGGCTGAGATAATGCAGTAAGACCCCCATTATTTTCCCTGTTCCAGGAAACTGAGAGACGTTGCAGCAGTTGGTCTCTTAGAATGAAGTGCAGATCTTTCTGGGAACTATCAGATCTAGTCTACTCTATCCTGTTCTATTGCTATATCCATCTCTGTCTTTAAATGGTTTATGACCACTTTTGTCTAACACTATGAAAAGAGCCCATGTTCTTTCTCTGTGCTTGCCCTCCTCTTACCTCCCATCCCTCAAGATGACTTTGTTCTCCCTGAAGTTATACAGTGGTGATGGTCCAGCTTGGACTGTGTACAGCTCAAAAGCCTTTTTCTGGTAGTCTCAAGAAGTTTTTAAAGGAGACTTTATTTCTTTTCTCACTCGTACTACCTGCATGTTTTCCAAGGATCAAAGTATCTCATGAATATGCAGTTTGGTGAAGACAAAGTTTTGGATAAGATCAGTGACATGAAAATGCCCCACCAGGAAAGGCTGCCTATGGTGCTCCTGTTGGGTGGCCCCCAAGCATGGAGGAGCTCAGTACTTTGCCTGAGGGCGCTCTTTCCTTTGCAAAGGCTGGGAGCTGCCTCCTTTGGGCTTTTATGGAAAATAAAACCTTGAGGGTAAAGGCTGAGGGAAGAGCTTGGAGCAAAATGCAGTTACTGAGTGAACCACAGCTCCTATTAGGAAATCTGCTCTGAGACTCTCTTTCAGCTCACTTCATAAATAAAGTCCATGCACATCCGATGTACTTCTGCTTCTGTCTCATTCATACCTCCAGTAGGCTGAAGATCCATTTCATCCGCTCTTCTCTAGGCCACTACGCATGATAAGTTTGAAGACCACTGGATGGTGCACTTCTGGTTGAAGAGCACCTGAATAGTTTGACTCGTGATGTTTTGCCCAGCTGAGCAGGAACAGCAGGACATTCAGTGCTATTGCTGTGCCTTAATGTCATTGCTACCTGGTCTACATGTAGTCTTGCGCTATCATAAATAGACCTCACAGTACGGAGTCGAGCTGGGTGTGGTGGAACAGCCCATGAGAATGCAAACACACTTCGGCATGGATATAATGGGATGTTATGGGCTTTCATCAAGATAAGGCTATGGGCAAAGGGTAAAAAGTGCCTCAGGTGACCTGAAGGGATAATTAAGGGAAAAAAAAACCAAAGGGAGGGAGCCAAAGGCTGAAGGGAATGTGAGGACAAAAGGAGGTGCTCTTAATAGAGTGGCTTACCAAGACATGGTGGAGGGCTCATTGTGGGAAGGTGGTGAAGGTGACAGTGGTGAGCAAATGCCAGAGACACTGTAAAGAGTTTGCTAAATCATATCGAATGATGTCCAAGCCTTCTTCAGGCCCTCCTGTACCAGACACGGGAGCGAGGCCCTGCTCCTGCGCTTACACCCTCAGGCTTGCCTGTGTTCGGGTCAGAACCGCTCATCCTCTGTTTCCCCCTTGGAGGACACCCAGGTTCATGGACCAGTGTCTCCCACTGGAGAGGAAGCTGGTCAGGCAGGGCCAGAGGTATTTGTCATGATTTAGCCCAGTTGGCAGCTCAGCCCCCAGGAGGTCACTGGCTCCCACCTCCCCCTCAGTGGGCTAGAGAGGAGAAAAATGTCACAAAAGGGCTGAGGGTTGAGACAAGAACAGGGAAGGATCACCCACTGACCATGGCCCCAGGCAGAACGGACTCAGCTTGGGGACAAACCAGTTCAATTTATTGACGGTTACTTGAGAGGATAACAAGAAACAAAGCCGGATCTCCAAAACACTTTCCCCCACTCCTCCCTTCTCCCCAGCTCTTCCTCCTCCCCAGGGGCGCAGGGGGACAGGGAATGGGAATTGCAGGTCAGTGCGTCACACATTGTTACTACCGCTCCTTTCTTAGAGGAGGAGGACTCCTCACACTCTTTTCCCTGCTCCAATGGATCCCCTCCTCATGGGACAGTCCACAGACTTCTCCACCGTAAGTCCTTCCCGCAGGATGCAATCCTGACCCATTGAATTGCTCCAGCACGGGCTTTTTTCCATGGAGTCACAGCTTTTTAAGGAGCTACCACCTGCTCCATTGTGGGGTTCTTCATAGACTTCAGATGTGTCTCTACTTTGTCGTCACTCTCCAGTAGACAATTCTACAACCTCCTTCAGGCTCAGCATCTTCACTCCAGCGTGGGCTCTCCACGGGCTGCGGATGGGTCTCTGCTCCAACGTGTCTCTCATGGCTGGAGAGTGCAGAGGGGCTGCTGCCATCTCACTGTGGGCTGAGGGCAATCTCAGCTCCGCACCTCCTCCCACTCCATCCTCACTGACCGCAGTCTGTGTGGCCATTTCTCTCAGGTCTCAGCCCTCTCTCCGCTGCAGCCATGCTGGACCTGACAAACCCTGGCAGTCCTGGTAGGACGAGCTCGGCTCACGGGTGCCGTGGCAGCGGGGCCCTTCGGAGCTCTCCCCACTGTGCTGCCACGGCCATCCCCAGTCGGTGTCAGCCCAGCACAGGCAGCTGCCCATCTGGGAGACCAGGGTGGGGCATCCCTCTGCCTCTCCCTCTCTTCAGAGTAGGTCTAGCCCAGTTTGGGCTCTTTCATCCCCATCTTAAATATGGCATTTGCAGAGGCACTGACTGTCTCCGCCATGACTTCTGGCTGTGGGGCAGAGGTGTCAGGATTCCAGACCTCTTCTTCCTTCTGACCCCATGCTGGGAAGGCCCCAGGTACATGGCCAGAGCAGTGTCTGCAGAAAGGGACCCATTGGGGAGTGGCTGAGAAGGTGAGGAGCATTGAGGACACAACATTGATTATGCTCTCATGACCCCGTGCAATGAGTCAGTGCCAAAGCCCAGATCCTGCAAACAAAAAAGTGCTGCCCCATCTCCAGCCATGGCCAGATCCCATGTGACACTTTGAAATTTCAGGAGATCTTCTGCACCAAAGCCAAGGCACAAAATTGGTATCACCTCCAGGCACATCTGGCTCAGACTTCAAATCACCACTTACTACAGCACAAATCAATTGGAAACAAAAGGATGCTGCAAATCTGAACGATCAGCCTTCTCCTTGGACCAAGATTAGAGCTGTGGTTTGAGGAGATGATAGCTTCGTGAAAGGGTGCCAAATACGTTCTCTACTTGCAAATAAGTAGTATGGCACCCAGTAATTATTAGCCAGCTGGATTGAGTTGAATATAATGACTAATTATCTAATCAACTCAAGGTACTGACCCTGCCTACAAGAGGCAGGCCATTTCCTCCTGTCTGTGGAAGATGCAACAGCGTCCTTGGTGCCGCAGCCCCGGCTGGGGAGCAACAAAGGAGAGCAGGAGATGAGGCCACCTTTCTCTTTCTGTTGTGTGACACAAGATGATACTAAAACGTTGTGGCTGAGCTGGCAGCAGCTGACCAAGGTCATTGTTAAAGGCTGACCATGATTGGGGAAAGCTGTTCAGATGCCCACATAGTTTAACTGGCATTGAATTGCAGCATACACGGCACGATTCAGGAAACTTCTCTGCTCGTAGAGAAAATAAATATAAATTGTTCATCAGGAGACTCAGAAATAAAAAAAGTTCTTATCAAACCCGGTCATTCTGCTTTAACACTCTGTTTCTGCATTGTTTGTGGCTGACGGAAACCGAACGCGTTTCCATCTGCGTGTTAAATTACAGGCTTACGATTTCTGTGTCGGAAACACTCCAGAGCCAATAGCAGTTACAAAGGCCAACTGTGAAACAGTAGGAAACAAACAAAAAAAATCAACACCATTTATTATTCACATATTGCATTACAAGTGTCTCTTACCAAACTCAGAGTATAATTTATATTATTGATGTAGAAACTCAGATTCAACACCGCCTGGAAATAAAAGCTAAATACGTGTGTGACGGGGTTTCGGTGACGTCCGGATCACACGCCGAGGCCCGGAGCGGCGAGAAGGCTGACGCCCCGAGCGGTCAGTGCAGGAGGGACACAGCCCGGCGCTCGCTCGCCCAGTACTACCACTCTACTGGCGATTCTTTATTGCTGTAAAACGCGACAGGGATGGTTCCACGGGTACCAGTTTGCAACGGACTGGGAAACACGTTGGGAGGACTCGCGCAGCCAGGCAGAACAGACCGGGTTTCAGGAACAGTTTGAAGTGCATCTTTTCCAAACGCAGAGTGAGAGAGATCTCCTCTCCCTCCGACCACCAATATGTTGTTGGTCATCTGAAAACCAGTTTCCAGACAGCAACGCCTCATAGGTCTGCTTTAAGAGAGGCTGAATC